ATATATCTTATAATATATATATATATATATATATATATATATATATATTTATAAATTACATACACGATCTCCACGGAAAAAACTCCAATTTTTTATAGGTTCAATCGGAACATATTCTTGACGTTTTTTTAACCAATTTTCTATACAGAAAGCTGTAGTCCAAGGACGATGTATAGAAAAATACAACTTCTTTCTTGATACTATTTTACGTGGAAGAAATTGCGGTTTACCGGGTGGAGGCTTCCAATATACCTAAATAATATAATAAAATAATATATGAAATATTATTTTCTAATCTAAATAAAATGTGATATAAAATATGATAAACATGTGTATAAAATAAATGTACGTACGCGTTCTGTAATACGATTTATATAGCGATCTGGTAAATTCGCATATTTTTTAGACCATTCACCCATCTTTCCAAATAACATATTTATGAGTCTCATTTTTTTAAATTATAAATTAAATTCACATTTAAGATATTTAAAAAGATACTATACTTAAAAATTATACTAAAGTCAAATCCTCAATTAAATATGTAACACATGAATCAAAATGTGTATGAACTTCGAAAAAGTGTGATATATAGAATTGAAACTAACGTATACTTATTTTACTTAATTTATAAGTGCATATATCATATATATAAAACGTGTTAATGTTATTCAATGTGTTTGATTTATATTAAAAAATTTTATCACAATATGTTTTATTAATTCATAAAATTTTTATTAAATTTAAAAAAATTTTAAATTAAAAAACTTAAAATTTTTGTGATATATTATATGTTACATTATATAAAAATTGTATTTAGATATTCAACAAGTAATTTAGTAGATATTGGATATATCATAAAAATACTTGTAACTTTACATTAAACGTAACTTTATATTTTCAATTTTATATGCAAGTTTCATCAGTTTAGTCAAGGTAGCGCCATTTTTTTGAAAAATATTGAATGAAACGTATAAATGATGAATAATTATATATATAATTTAAAAATACAAATTTACAAAACAATATAATATTATTATAACAAAATTTATTAAATCATATATATTATTATATATATTTATTATTGTGCGTATTATTAATATTATGATTCGAATAGGTTAGAATAATACATATATACATATATAATTCATTGTCCGTATTCATATCATCGGAATTAAAAAATGTTATTTCAATTGAGAAAATGCACACGAATGCGACAATTTGTAATGTTTCATATGCATAATAAATTTCAAGTGAAAATAAAAACGATATATTATTGGACAGAATCGAAATGTACAAATTTGATAAATCCAAGTTTTAGCATATATAGATCAATGTGTACTCGTCAAGATCAAAACGAAGATATTAAATTGCCACCCTTAATGTGGAAACGGAAAGAAGACCTAGGTTTCTCTATTTTTCAGATGTTTCGATCATATTATCTTATACGTTCAACTATTGATAAAGACTTTCGTTATATTAAATTTGTAGAAGGAGTTCGTCAGGTATAATATGTTTATTGATGTGTTAGTTACATATATAGACGTGCATTTTAGGAGATTAATTAATTATAATAATATATTTAATTTCAAATAATGTTTAATTGATATAATACAATTAATTTAATTTAGGCAATAGAAGTAATATCTAATGCTTTAGCTACTCAACATTATGATGCATTAGATGGTATAGTAACTGAAAACGCTATAAAAGTATTAAAACGTAACGTTGAGGGTCTTACACAAAAGCAACGTGATTTAATAAGTATAAATACTACCAATATTTTAGTAATACCAGAACTTATAAAAATAAAAAAGACTGAAGGTAATTTTATATAATATAATCATATTTTTTATTGTTACTGTTTTCATATATATTTAATTCTATTATAGACAACAATGAAACAATGGTTGAAATAGGAATAAGTGGATTTTATTTCAAATCATTTGAAGTTTCAGACTATTACTTTCTATGTTTTAATTATATATTTCAAAGAATATATACAAATAATGAAGGAGGAGCATGGATGGCAAGACTAGTCAATCATACAACAGATTTAATTCTATAGGTTTCAATTATATAATTGAATAAAATTTTTATTTTAAAATAAATGATTAGTTACATTTTAGAATAAATATCTTTTTTTTTTTTTTATATTATTGAGTGTTTACATTAAGAATTACAAGATAATTTCATTTAATAATTTTATAAAAATATAAATTATTTGACATTAAATTAATAATAAAGTCTAAAAATATAATTATAAAAGGCATAAATTTCTAAAATTATATTATCTAAATAATATTTAATAATTATATGTATCATATTTTTCTCTAGATTTACCAAAATAAATATATTTTTCTTCAAATATTTATGTCTTTCAATATGGGAGGTATATAATCTTTTATATGCAATTCTGTTGCACCAATTAAAATCTTATTTTTCAATATAGTTATTATAAGAGGTTTCTGTAATATAAATTTATATAAATTTACAATACATTTTTACAGCAACTAAAAAAATATATATACTTCAGTCAATTGAGGATTGTAAATCCAACATTCTTTTTTATATAAATTTTAAAACAAATTATTTCGTTTCATGGGAACAGAATTATAAAATTTGACTTCTACATTTGACAAGTTATGTGTCTTAATTTTTATTACATTTAAATATAATTCCATAAACAATGATATTGTAATTCTACTGCTCATATTTGCTTGTTTAAACATTATATTTATCGTTCGAGTTGAATATGATGTAAGTTCATATAAATGATCAATGATATTTGGACGATTTTCTATAATATTTAAAAAATTATGTTGAAATAATATTATATTGAAAAAAATTAAAACATTATTAATAATAAATATATAATGGATTTAAATAAAAATAAAATTACTTTTATAAATAGCATCAATCAGACGAAATGACTTTGTAACAGATGCAGCAAACATTGGAATCTGATTTCTTTCTTTATCTTTAAAACAACTATCAATAGCTATAAATAATTATAATAAAATATAAAGTAAAAAATAAAATTATTTAAATATTATATAAATTTAATTTAAAAGAATTAAATATAAAATGCATGTATAAATATAATATGCATGTATATACAAAATTTATAATATTAACAACTTACATTTTCCAACTTCTTCAAATAATTTTGTGACTGTTATATTTTTTTTAATATATTTGCTAAGATGTGTCATATATAAACTATAATTATTACCTATTTTCTCATAACTAGGTCGATAACTAGATGTAGAATATGCTTGAATTAAATTTCTAAGATTTTTTTTACTTTTATATTCTTTCACTATTGGTACCTCCTGATATATTTCAGGATTAAGTTGTCTAAAAATAGATTAATAAAATGCAGAAACGAGTGAAAATAAATAAAATAATAAAAAAAGAATATTTACCTTGAAGGTAAAGATTGACACATGTCCAAGATAATAATTAATAGTTTAGGATTATTTTTAAGAAATGCAGACAATAGTTCACTTTCACATATTGCATCTTTTCTAAAATATTTTTCTGGAGCATCTGTTGCAAGCATATAATTCTCTTGCATTTTAAAATGACCAGCAAAATAGAATAGATCTACATAAAAAGATACAATTTAAGTAATAATTTATAAAATATTTATTATTTTATAAATTATTATTTTAAATTACAAATAATTTTTTTTTATTTTTTACACTTACCTTCTACTAAAGCTTTGCTAAATATTTCTATTGCATTTTTCATTTGAGTGAACGTCAAATTAAGAAAACAAATTACTTCAAATCCAATTTCTTTCAGAAGATTACCAATGCACGCAGCATCATTTTTAGGTGTTAATAGACATTCATAATATTCATATTCTTCATTTGCTATAATTAAAGCTATTTTTGCAACTGCTTTTAATCTTTGAAAATTCATCTATAAAATTATGAAATTAATACATTAAAATAATGTAATTAATATCATAATATTAATTAATATCATAATATTAATAAAAAATATTATATATTTTTACCATTATATGAGTTTTTTCAGTATAAACTTCATTAATATTGTTATGAATATAACAATAATATTTTCCTTCATTTTTTGAAGTAAATTGTTTTATCTAAAATTACAAAAAAAAAATTCATAACATTAATATTATTCTGATGAAGAAAAAAAAATGATAGTTTATATACTTGCAGAATGTTTGATGTTTCTCCATCTATTTTAATATTGTCATGAAACCACTGATAACATGGTTCAGGATTGCTACTAGCTTTGCAAAAAAATTGTAAAACTTTCATTTTTCTTAACTTCTAAAAATTGTTGGGGTTGTATTTCTATTATAACAGGCATAGGAAAAATTTGAACAATTACAGCTTTTGAAATTAAAGTTGATATAAGAGTGCCATCATTTTTAATTTGAAATACTTTACATTTATATTCTCCAGCTTAAGAAGCACTTTGAAATAAATAAAATAACTTTCACATTTCGATCAATTAACAATTTATAGAAATTATATAAATATTTTTATATTAAATATATATAGTTATAATAAGATCAAGTTCATCAGATGTGTAATGTTGCAATTGCTTGTCATTATGATACCATATATAATTTGGTGGTAGCATTCCAATAGCTTTGCAGCACAGATGAAGACGATGTCCAAATGAAACTTTCAAAATATTAATTGGAAATTCTTCTGTTGGATGCATAATAATACTCAAAGGTTCTAAAATCATTATATCTATGAAATATTAAATATAGATATATAATAATTTATTAAATAATAATATAATATTATCATACCTGGATTAGATATAATAGATAGAATATTATGAAGTTTACAATCATTTAATAAAGCACATAATACTTCTATAGTACACATTCGAATATTTAATTCAGAAAATAATTTTTGTCCAGGAGAATCATTCGAATGTTTAATTTCTTGTAAAGATTATATCCAAGTACTATATTTTATGAAATGAAATGGAATATTATCTTAATTATTATAATTTAACATTTAATTTCTGTTTTTTTTTTAAACATTTTTTTTTTGCTTACCATGGATATTGAAGTTCTTTAGCTACATGATTTGCTAATATTGTCCAAGTTGCATCTTTATTTAATGCATTAATTATTTCATTATATATAGTTATTGGTAAACATTCAATATACGCGTCAAATTGTTCAATCATTTTTATTGAAATTTTTAAAAATGCTGCGTATAAAAGATTTTGTTATAAAAGAAATAACATTTTTATTTTTTAAAATAAAAAAATATATTAATTATATTAATTGGATTAATATCTGAATTTGTTTTGAATTTTTTTTTTTTTACAATAATATTCATATGTAAAAATTATTTGTAGAATAATTGGAATTTATAATGTTCACAAATATATATATAACATATATATATATGTATATATATATATATGTATATATCGATACCTTGTTCTCAATCGATATAACAGAAATATAAAATAGTAAAAATTATTAATCAATATTTTTATATATTTATCTAATATATTTACAATTAAAAAATACAATATTTTATTTAAACTCATTATGGAAAAGAAATATAAAATATATAGTTAAAAAAATAATTTTATACCATTAAATCAATAGAATTGATATATTTTATTTGTATCATTTAAAACAACATTTATTTATAATAAATATAAATATAAAGAAAAAATATATTTATTAATATATAAGAATAGAAATTAAATTAATAGAATAAGTTTGCAAATTGAAAGTAAATAATTTTTCATTATCAAGTTAAGTTTGCGAATATGCGATAATAAGACGTGAATCTATGTTAATCTGTTTTATCTTCAGCGTTATACATTGTAACACCAAACGAAAGAGCGAGCTTTCGGAACACCCCGGAAAAGTATCGTCAGTTTTTTATTGCGGGTGCGATAGAATGGTGGGGGATTGCTGTAACCAATGAGCCCGCAAAAAGCGGCTCCTGCGCGATGCGCGTGGCGCGCTGCGCCGCATAATCTTGCGTATCAGTGATCGGCAGTGCCATCCAGAAGGCAGTAGGTTACGGGTTCTAACGTGGTGAAATTTAAGGAGTCCTTATTGGTGCGATTGGTGAAAAAAGGAAACGTGTGAGGGGATAGAGGGCACACGATAGTAGGTGCACGATACTCGCGAGTGTCGGAAGATCTAGTGCCGAGCCATCATGGCGAATCCACGAAAGTTCAGTGACAAGATCGCGCTACACAAACAGAAGGAAGCACAGGAAAGAGCGGCGTTCGAGGCTATCATGCGAGAAGTTTCGGATTACACAAGCAGAGTAAGGAAATCCCAGTAGGTCCTTGTCATTGAGGGACATATCTTGATATTTTCCGTATACCTTCTTCGGCTCAGATGTTAGAACGTAAACAACGAGTATTCTCTTTCCTCGTTGCACCGTGTATCGAGTGTGTGTATGCCTACGTGAATGTGCTCGTCTTTCTATACGGTCGTGCGTATTTGAGTGTGTGACTAGTCTACTATCAGTATTTGTGTTAACGCGTACAACTACATGTACTCGCTACTGGCCCTCTGTTTCTCTTTCCTATTCGTTATCGTAGTGTGCGGACGGATGCATATGTGTCTCTTCGTTCGCCGCGTGTAAGAGTGTATGAATATGCGTATATGTGGAACGAGTACTTATATGCTCCGGTATATGCGAAACGTACTGTGTGCTTGTTGCCACCATCCGTCCTGTAAGTTCTTAATAAATGCATACGTGTGCGATCGACAATCGCATCCATCCTGCTGACTAGTTCGAACCGACTATCGTATTTTCAAGAAAAATCTCAAGTTCTTTTTCGAATATTCTCACGATTTTCTATATGCATTTTAATCAAAATGTATATATCCGTGATTAAAAAATCTTCATTCGTTTCTCATTTAAAAGAAATTGAAAGCGTTTACAATAAACTTGACGATAATCGTGTTTGTGTTTCTATTTACGCGACATACTTTTATCCACGATCGATAGTGACCAAATGAACTGTTCTTCGTTTTTCTGATAGTTTATCGTTCGTTGAAGTGCGTCGTTCAACTTTCAATCCATGCACTTTCGAACTATTTCGATGAAACGAATATCGTTCGTATTTAACAATTTTAAATATCTTCGCAATCTCGAAATTATTGGAGATATAATACAAGTCATCACGTGCTGTTTCGAGTTTAATTCAAGATATCAATGTATGTTTTTCTCATAAGAATTAGAAACAAATTATTTTATTTTATTTCAATTTATGATTATATAAAAAATTTATCGATAGTAATTATTTTAATTACAAAAATAAATTGAATTTTCGAAAAAAAATATATCAAGTGCAATCGGTCAATAACCTAACTTTTCATACGATAAAAATGCCAATGAAAATCTTTTCCGTTAAGTATGATACTTCCGGGTTCCGGGTTCTGAAACAACTTATCGTCTTGCTTCTGCGCGAAATTGCTTTTCTTAACGTTTATAATTTCGCACGATAAAACGATAGCTTTTAGATTGACAGTATTGTCATTAATCGACTCGAAATGTCAATGTCTATGAAAAATCAGTGAGATAAGATTAAAATTCGATCGTGCTCTTATGCAATTGATAGCCATGATTTTATAAATTCGATTTTCCAATGAAAGATAGTTATAACCATTTATCGTTGAGCGGAATTGTCACGCGTATGTTCGTTTGTTTTTTGAAAATGCACGTGGATCGCGCGTAGATTCAAAGCGACAATATTTTTAACTATGAAAGTTAGAAAATTGATGAAGTTCACGCACTACAGATCGCATTTTTTTTACGACCTAGCATCCTCTATCGTGATGTTACGTGAAGATTGTCGCGGGAATCACGCGAAATTGGCGCGTTTTTAATCGGACAGGACTCCGATAACCGTACAGTCATTACATAACCGCTAACATTGTACTAAATGCGGAAGCTGCGTTATACGTTAAAGTTCATATTCGATCAGTCGATATCGCGGCGTTATTTACGGTACTATGACTTAATCTATTGGACGTTGAGAATGCGCGCCCGCGCGCGCGCTCGCGTGTACACATGTTTTTAGTTGTGCATCTAATTATTCCCGCGCATATTTCTCTTTATTTCTTTTTTCGCGCTTCGTTGCATTATCATCGAATTATTGGACTAATCTCGAGATGTCAGGATAAGTTTCGAGATACGCTTCTTTATCTCCGGTTAACGATTTTCAAAGCGTTTCATATTAAAGGAGAAAAGTCGTTCCATATTTATTACACAATATTCTATAATATTATTGGAAATTGTATCTCACGCGTATGCGTGTATGTGTGTATGTGTGTGTGTGTGTACATGTTGCAATCGGTGCACACGAATGGTATACGCGTTCTATTAATTCTATTTAATCAACTTGGACCTGACCAGACCAAATCATGGATCGAGCATAACGTTTGTATACGTAATCTTTCGTTTTCTTCTTCTCCAATCTACGTGATTCCACGATACATTTTTGCGCCTTATACGCGATCTTTGATCCGAACTATAATTTTTGATCGAACGATCGTCGAGTTACACGACTTTGAATCATTATACCGTTAACGGCCTCGATAACGATTACAAACGCGGCGACTAATCGTTCGAACCGATGTGCTAACTCACGCGTGTTTAAATCTCAAGTCGAATGGGAAGAACAATTGATCGTTGTTAACAGTCGGAACAATTTGAACGCTGTTTGCACTTGTTTCGAATATTTCTCATAATTCTTCTTTTCTTTCTCATCATATGTATCTCATAATATAACATAATTTTGGAATTATAATTATTAATAATTATTCGTTCGCTAATATTCGTTCATTACTTCGATCTCGAAATGAAACCAATCCAAATTTTCGTTACGGGACACCCATATTTCGAAGCAAGTCTAGTAAAATGACCCATATGAAACGAATAGGAACAAAGAAAGAAGGGGAATCAGAAACGATGTTACGTGTGAGTACGAAAGTATGCGCGGGCACGAAAATGGTCCCATTAATGGAAACTTCGTTTTCGAGGATGGTGATATTTTACGATTTCTAGTTAATTATCGAAATCGTTGGAAATTTTTCGATCATCGAATAATCAATCAATTCATCGTATTCTCTTATTTTTTTCTTTTTTTTTTTACTTTTTTATTTGAATAATCAAATCTCGGAATTAGAAAAGATATTGCAAAGATTTTCCGCGTTCTCCCTCGGAAAGAGAGATACAAGAAAGGGGAGCCACGTGGTCTAGCGTGCAGCGCTGATCTAATCGCAAAACAGGTTGCGTTGTACGCTCGTAAAAGAAAAAAACTGGTACTTTCACCGCAAGAATTGCGCAATTTCGTTACAAAAAAAGAAAAAAAATACATAAAGAGGTCGCGATTGCAATTTTATCGCAACGTTCGATTTTCCGCCAAGTTTTAATCTCGATCGTGTCGTGTTTTCGTATCGTTTGTTCATTACTCTCGGCGATACGATTTTCTCGAAACGTAGCGATGAAGATAGAATTCCGTTGCATCCGGTCCAAACCAAACCATTCTCTTACGAATCGAATTGGAATTTTTCGGTCTTTCCGGACGATGA